GACATAGGATGAGAGATCGAGAGGAGAGTGGAGTGATGGAGAGATGTACTTGTCATGTGTATGGATAGTGCGATGGATGGATGAGATGATGGAGCCAACTGGCGAATGGGGATGGGATGGATGGGACTGGTAAGGATGGATGGATGGATGGATGGTGGATGGATGGATGGATGGATGGATGGATGGATGGGATGGATGGATGGATGGTATGGATGGCATGGATGGTTGGAATGAATAATTATATAAATAGATGGATAGATTGATTATGATAGATTAAATAGATAAATGAGATAGATTAGATAGAATAGATAGATAGGTAGATAGATAGATCAGGACAGACAAGATAGATAGATAGTCGAGAAGAGACGAGAGAAAGAAGAAGCATGAGCGAGATGGAAGAGAAGCGATGAGAGCGAGAGCGCTAGAGAAAGAGAGAGAGAGAGATGAGAGAGAGAGGAGAGAGAGAGAGAGGAGAGAGAAGAGAGAGCGAGAGAGGAGAGGAGGAGAGAAGAGAGAGAGAGAGAGAAAGAGAAAGAGAAAGAGAGAGAGACGAGAGCAGGAGATGAGAGAGAGAGAGAAAGAAAGCGAGAGGCCGAGCAAGAGAATATATATATAGTGATTAAATAGTATATATATAATATATATATATAAAATATATATTTATATATATAGAAGGGGTTGGTCGACGAGGACGGAACTCTTACGTTTCAATACTCAAACGGCTATCTTATAGAAAGTGCTATTGATTTCTTATCTCTATCTATATTATCTCTCCCCTCGCAGATATGGCGATTGTTCGCACTGACCCTATCTCTACTAAATATTGGTTTTAAAGTCAATCGCTCTAATTACATTCCGTGCGCAATATCCGAATGGCGCGAAACATAACTGTCGTATAGAATCTTCTTCTTACATGACCCATGAGGCCATGTGACATCTGGCTCTCTACTAAAATAGTATATAATTACTCAGTAGATGACCGTAAAATTGACAATAACCGGACGATTCAATGACCCGAGTTTGCTACGGCCCCGTTCGCTTCATTCACTATATCTCGCAACTCAACTCAAATACGAATGGTAATGGTAAATGGTTAGATGGTCGGGGGGGGGATCGATCATTATTGTACAGAAGTAGAATATGTCAACCACGGTCAGACGGGTATAGGCATCTCGACAGTCTGAGCAACGCATTATTCAGCGATGGAATTTAAAATTATAATTAAAATTAAAACGGGGGATGTTTTCCTGATTTTTCTAGACGTTCAAGTTACGTTAGAATTTTAATCAAACAGCTTATACCTGAGAATTGCGCTGATGATTCCTTCTCTTTGCCCCAAATCACATCGAATAAAACACGGGTCTTTGCTCCAAAAAATTCATCCCATCGGCTAAAAAATTTCTTGCACTGAAAATCATGTGTGATAACAAGTGAATAATGGATTCCGTTTATAATGGGAAAGAGATTTTACGTTAAAGAGATTGTGCATACAAATTGATTATGATCGCCATGAGTAGTTAGGCAGGCAAACACAACTCTGTGCTTGAAAAATTTGCATATGCATGAATACGGTTAAGTTTAATCACAATTTAGCAGTCGCTACAGTCAGTTTCATGGTATTTGCATCGTGAAAAAAAAATAAAGGTTAAGCAAATAAATACCTTGCATTATTTCACTCCCTGGATCTAAAGCGTTTTTTTAACCGCTGAATCTATAATACTTAATTACTTATTCATAAGTACGTGATAATGTGATTGCTGACTTAAAAATTAATAAAAAGCAAGCGATTTCGTTCCTAAATATATTATAATATTAACAAAAGATTTCAGCGCGTCTATTTCTCAATTATTAACCGCGTTTGCCAATGGAATTGCAGTAAAACTGTAAACACATCGACGGCCATACGCGATGTGCAGAACCTGCAACTATAGCGAAAACAACGAAATTCTCGTCCCTCTTAAAAAAAAATTCTCGTCCGTTTTCCTGGAATCATAAATATCACTCACTCCGTTAGACTTTTCTCCCCAAATCTCGCACCGGGAAGGGAGGAGGGGGTAAGGGGGCATACGCATAGTAACATCAGCGGTGTATAATATAGACATCTATTTTATACACATAGACAGACATATAATACAGACATCTATTTTATACACATAGACAGACATATAATACAGACATCTATTTTATACACATAGACAGACATATAATATAGACATCTATTTTATACACATAGACAGACATATAATATAGACACCTATTTTATACACATAGACAGACATATAATATAGACACCTATTTTATACACATAGACAGCCATATAATATAAACATCTATTTTATACACATAGACAGACATGTAATATAGAGTCCATAATAGAAAATTATTGGACTCTTGGACCATTATGGACTCTTGACATAATATAGACATCTATGTTATACATATCGCACAAAGCTACCCCTTCACGTCATCTCTCTTCCATCGTTTGACGCAGGACTACACGCTGACGCTGTACCTGACGCAATATTGGGTGGATTCTCGTCTGCGATACGAAGACTTCTACGACGCTCCGGGCGACTTCATGACGCTTCCTGGAGACTTCGCCGAACGCATCTGGGTGCCAGACACATTCTTTGCGAACGACAAGAACTCATTTCTGCACGAGGTAACGGAGCAAAACAAGCGCGTACGACTCTACGGCAATGGATCCATCGAATACGGAATGAGGTGCGTATATATAGATTATAGTGCGTATATAGATAGACATGGGTATAGTACGCGCGCGCTCTCTCTCGCACTGTCTCTCTCTCTTTTTCTATTTTCTTTCTTTCCACTCGCTCTCTATCTGTCTATATCTCTCTTTTGCGCTTTCTCACTGTCACTCTTTCTCTTTCTGTTACTTTTTCTCGTTTTTTACCTCCTCTCGCTCTCTCTCCCGCTCTTTTTATTCTACTCGCTCCCCGCCCCTTTTATTCCACTCTCTCGTGCACTCTATTTCTTTTTCTCCGCACCACTCAGCTCTCCTTCTCTCTCGCCGCCCCTTTAATTATCTCCGTGTCTCTTTTCTCTCCCTTTCTCCCTCTGTGTGTGTGCGTGCGTGCGTGCGTGCGCGGTCGCGTGTCCGTGTGTTAGTGCGAGTGCGTGTACGTGTGATCGAGTGTTTATATGTATGTACGCACGTACTGTATATTATCTTGTACGTATCATGATGTATTTCTCATGCACGTATCTCTACGTATCTCTAGCTCACTCATAACCGTCTACCCGGGTCCGCATTTACGCTTTCCCTTTAGTCATTGAGGCACGTCGTTTTATGAATAGGCTGGTTACCTAAATTATTGGCTATTGACAATCCGGTGACCGGCGACGACACTATATAATAATCCTCACAGCATCACCGCATCTGTGTTGTGCGTGTGCTCGCGAATGAAGCTCAGGCGTGTTACGCCCCGGCCGCGCGGACTGCTATGCGAAATCACGGCAAGCGTGTGCTGTACATCCCAATGTTTGCCCTGAAGCCCTCGTCCCATCATGCAAGAGGAATCCGCGTTATGCGGCATCCGCTGCAAGCAGGCGAGACCGGAGGATCTCCGCTGGGCTCGCGAATCCTGGACGATGCTGCTAACAGTAGCAGCTTGACGCTGCGAACAGAAGCGGCTGCGTTAGCGCGTGACATCTGATGGCATATTGATTGATAATTTGGTAGCGCTGATTAGTGACGCAGAGTTTAGCACGCCTCGCGTGAGATGGCGAATCTCGGTAAGGCGCGAGGGAAGCATCGGTGGTGGACGTGCCTGGCATAACAACCGCGAACAGATGGCGGGTGCTGCGTGATTGTATCATCGTACTGCGAACACAGAGTAAACATCACTGGATAACCCCGCTCACAGCAGCGCTACGTTATTTACTCCAGGCGTACGCAGTAAATATCCAATAAACCAAATTGGTTTGGGGGAGTCATTCTCTTTGCGGGGAAAAAAAGTTTCTTCGTTGTTTTTTTCTTCGACTAACTTGAATATTTAATTTACGGTAGAGTCCAAGGGGGGATTCTTATTAATTTACAATCGTCACCACTCTTTCTTCATCGCTCGTTTGGCTAGCCACCGAAGCAATTTCGTGGCAATCATACTTCATATATATTTCTTCTTCGTCTGCCTAATGAACGAAATGGTAGCACATCTAGAATCTTAACGCATTACCGTCCTTTATAGGACTTTTTTTCGTTTTATAGTGTTTTTTTTTACGATTTAAGACGCTGGTTTATTTGATTTTCTCTTCACAACGTAACGTAAACCCTCAAAACTCCGTCAGTCGTAGTTGTCACTGCAAGCGCTACACAAACAGGAGAAGGGATAAACGTATGAGTAATGAGGAGTATATTCAGACGCATGATTTATAGTGCGTTGTAAAGGTTTTCATGTAACTATGAAATATGGCCCTACTATACATACTCACACGTATCCATTGATTTTACGTGCTCGCGTGTACATGTATGCATATATATGCATGTATGTATGTATGTATGTATGTATGTATGTATGTATGATATAATGTATGTATGTATCGTATGATGGTATGTATGTATGTATGTATGTATGTATGTATGTATGTATGTATGTATGTATGTATGTATGTAATTTGTATGAGTATGTATGTAATGTATGTATTTGTATGTATGGTATGTAATGATGTATGTATGTATGTATGTGCTATGTATGTATGATTTATGTATGTATGTAGTGTATGTATGTATGTATGTATGTATGTAGTTGTAATGTATGTATGGTATGTGTTATGTTGTAGTATGTATGTATGTATGTATGTATTATGTAATGTCATGTATGTATGTATGTATGATGTATGTATGTATGTATGTATTGTAATGTATGTAGTATGTATGTATGTATGTATGTAATGTATGTATGTATAGGAATGAAGATAGAGAGATATGAGAGATATGATGGAGTGATAGTATGTATGTATGCATGCATGCATGCAATGCATGCATGCGAGTGAGAGGACGAGCATTAGATGTAGAGGGTAAGTGGAGGGTAGGATATGGATGTAATGTATGTATGTATGTAGTATGTATGTATGGTATGTAGGATGAGTGGACATATAGCTGTCATGCAAGGATGCTTGTGGCTGGTGAGAGAAACGTGGTAAGAGAGAGGTGAAAGACTAGGGGTGTTAAGCGAGGACGGCAAAGGGAGGATGTCACTGAGAGTGCGAGGAAGAGTATGGAAGAAGAAGCGGAGAGAGAGAGAAAAAAAAAAAAGAGAAAAAGAGAAAGAGAAAGAAAATTTCGCCGCCCCACACGGCCGCCCCCCCTCCCTTACAAATTTAAGGAAATTTTTAGACAGTGTTTAGGTGAAGAGGATATGATAATGCGGGAGAAGTGGTATTAATAGAGAGAGAGGCAGAGTAAGAGGAGAGTGTCGAAACGAAGAATGAGAGAAAGGCGATAGTATTGTAGGTAGTCGCACTGGTACGAGAGGAGAGCAAGGGTAGAAACCGACTTTTCGTACCTGTGTACCGTTTGAGGATAATGTATGATTGAAGGGGAGAGAAGAGAGAGAGGAGAGGAGAGGAGAGAAGAAAGGAGAGAGAGGAGAAGGGGAAGGGGGGAGGGAGGGAGAGAGAAAGAGAGAGAGAGAGAGAGAGAGAGGAGAGAGAGAAGAAAGAGGAGCGAGAGAGAGAGAAAAGAAAGAGAGCGAAGAGAGAGAGAGAAAGAGCGAGGAGGAGAGTGAGTGGAGAGAGAGGAGAGAGCGAGAGCGAGAGAAAGATGCGAGAGAGAGAGATGAAAGAGCGAGAGAGAGCGGAGGAGAGAGAGAGAGAGAAGAAGAGAAAGAGAGAGACGAGAGAGAGAGAGAGAGAGAGAGAGAAGAGAGCGGAGAGAGAGAGAAGAGGAGGAGGAAGAGGCGAGAAGGAGAAGGAGAGAGAGAGAGAGCGGGCAGCGAGAAGCCGGGGAGGAGAGAGCGGAGAGAAGTGCAAAACCGGCAGAAGGGAGAGACGAGATTTATAGTATCGTACCTGTATATAACATGAAGGCACCATGAAGGTGGGTGAGTTAGATACACCATCGCAGAATTAGAGCCCTGCTGACTCGACATAAATAACCACAATAGGTTGGAGCGCAATTAAAACGCTTGCGTGAGCAAAAACTGGCGATCCTCGTTCTTTCGGCGGTTGAGTCTATACACGTGCGCGGTGTAATCTTAGATATTCTCGTGGAACTAGTCCTCCCCCACCGCTCTGAAGGTCGATGCCGACTATTTCTGACGTGCGTAGCTAGCGAGGAATATCTGCATCTGTATCTCATCACGCTGAGCAGACAGGTCTAACGTTTGCTGTTGGGTTGGGTGACGTGGGGAGCACTCAGAGCGGAAATTATGTTCAGAGCCGAGTTAAGTGCCGGCGTATTTAATAATTAGTTTTTGCTACCGATAGGCATAGCAAATGATTTTGATTGTGACGATTTTTTTTTAAATTAACTGCGCACGCGCGCCGTTTTTAGCTTGAAGTCTTTAACTACGCTTACCAGTGAAAAAATCAACGGCAGTAAATCCGCGGGGGGGGGCGTATAGGAAGCAAGTATGCGTTCAACGTTTGTAAAACAATACCGGGGTCACACGCTTTTCTTTAAATTCTAACTGATTATAAAGTTTATGTAACAAAACACGATAAAAGTAACTCATCTCATTCTCCATTTCCCGTCACCTTGGTTTATTCGCCATATTGTTCACCTTTGCATAACTGCTTCACGACGTTATGTTAGAGTCGCTATCTATTCTATTTTTTTATCCTCTGCCGCGCCTCCTGATTCAACGTAAGGTTTTAAATCAGACGCCTGTAGTTCTAGACTAACCTTACGTGAGACACTGAACTTTGATTGAAAACCGAAAGTAGCAACGTCGCAAGTGGTTTGGTACTATTGCCACCCTCTAATCTGTTTGGCTGAGAATACACTGTTCTGTTCACCATAGTCTTCCCTCTTTTGCGATCCATCTCAGAGTAGGTGCCGTCCTGCCGTAGTTACGGTTAGCGCTGGTTGTATATCATTTATGCGAGAGAGGCCAACCGGATCCACGCATGTTATCTTTGATCTTTTCCCCTCTGTCGGGCGAACTTCTCTTCTATGGATGCCAGTCGCTACATCTCAGTCACTTTGGGACCCATCTTTCACATATCATTCATTACACTTGCATCACTTCCTACCTGGAGGAAAATAAGCAATTAAAATAAAAATTGCTTCGCCTATCCCAGTCTGCACTCGTCGCAAACCGTTTTGACGGCGCGACCTCAAGTATTAACTACTAGCATGCAGAGTTGATCATGTTTGATGTATTACTCGTTTTTAGCCTGTTGATATGAGAGAGTGTGAACGTCATTGTAACGACCACGATGTTCCTCTTGTGTGTTGCTTATCGACCTGATTAAGCACATTCCGATAGCTCGTTCTCGTCAATACTTTTTTGTATAACTTTTTATCTCCTCCACCCCTTCGTCTTCTCGCCCTACTTCTCTTGTTTCCATGTAAATATCATGATCTTCTCCCTTTGCTCTTTACGAGCGCAGATTATGTGTCGATCACGCAGGATCCCAGCGCTTGTTGGTTCCATGCATGTCTCTCAGGGTCTCCCCAGGATGAAATTAAACAGGGGGGGGGGGCAGGGTGGGGGGAGGGAAGGGGAAGGGAGGAAACTAAAGCCGGGGTGGGGGGGGGAAGAAAAAGGGCTGCTCTGTCCATGGGCGTGTCTAACAATGTTTTCTCATTTTTCTTCTAAACCTTCGATATCATCAACAATCGCTGTCCGAACGTACAGTTAGTTTTTAGGGCGCGAAACACACATCATAAACCGATGCGCATGACTCGCGGGTTATGTGTGTATGTAGAACACGTAGCGAACAGGCCGTTAATGTGCATTGGACAATTAGACAAAAGATACAAAATAAAAATGTAACACTGGGGTCGGTATACGTGTGTAGTATGTAGTCGCCTTCCATAATTGACGCAAGATCGTGTGCTAGCGACATCAGAGAGATATGACGTGGTTCATCAGTGCTTTGTGTCGCGAAATGCTCGAAGTTAACCGGGAATTGATGTATGCTACAAGGGCGCGCAAATAGCTGGCATTAGGGAAGTGGTGGTTGAAATCCGGGAACTGTGGCTTCTTCATAACGTTAGGCTCCTTGTCGTGGAAATAAGTAGCATCAGGTCCAGATTCGTGATATATATATGTGTTCGTGAATGCTTGTCGTCTACTAAGCCCTGGTCGTCGTGTCATTATGTTTTGTCTATCAGAATCTCTTTTTTTCCACTTTTTTCATCTGCCTGAATCATCTTCGTCTTCCTCTCAATATCTTTTTTTTGCTTGCTATATCGAACCAGATATTGTGTCGATCAATGGACTCTCTTCCGTCCACCGCAGTGGCTGTTGGTTCATTAATACCGTTCGTGCCGTTACTGTCTGTCCATAATCTAACAATCACATACCCGACTCCGTCCACAAATCGCTGTCCCCCATCAGTGTAATTTCTTCGTCTACTAAATCGATTTCCACTTTTATTCTTTAGTAATCGACCTACTACTCCACGTATATATAATATATATATATATGTGTGTGTGTTTGTGTGGTGTGCGTGCGTACGTGCGTGCGTGCGTGCGTGGCTACATGCGTACGTCGTACGTGCGATGCGGGTCGGGTGTGTAGTAGGCGCGTGCGGCGCGCGCGCGTGTGTGTGTGTGTATGTGTGATGGCGGTGTATGTGTGTGTGTGGTGTGTGTGTGTGTTGTGATGTGTGTGTGTGTGTGTTGTGGTGTGGTGTGTGTGTGCGTGTGCGCGCGCAGCGGTGTGTGGTGTGTGTATATAAACGAGGTGGCAGTAATAGTTAAACAACACCAATGATTGCGAATTTATAAAATGGTCGTTCTCAATCTAATGTTGTTCGTTGCGTGGCATCAAAGATGAGGCGCAAGCAGAATGAATTCTACCAATAAAGCGGTCGGCGTACCGCCGAGTGGGATCCTGAAGATAGGATACGATGCGTCCGTGTATCTTCCCCGCCGCTAAAGTCTATTGAACCTTTCAGCATTCACCGAGGATTTTCATGACACGAAATCATCGTCGCGTCTATAGTGGTTTATATTCAGCAACTTGCAGCCGCTTAAGGCGAAGAATAGCCGCCACCGTCGCCCTTATTGAATTGCATGCAGCGCCCTTCTTTGAGCGCGGTATCTTCTATGACAGCTCATAGTGATTCTTTATCGATCGTAAAATTTTCCTCCCTTTTTTGCCGCGGTTTTGCATGTAAACCCGGGCAAGCGGTTTGCCAATCAAAACAACACTAACGGAGGAGGAGAACGCTTGTTGCACTCCGCCGTAAATAATGTATATGCCGTTACGCACGTCGGCAGGCAAGCATGCAGTAAAAGATACCGCCCTGTGTGAGCTAGCATGCACGTTAGTACGCCAGAGTTCACTCTACAAGCCCGATGGGATTGCCCCGAGAAATATATGCGCGCAAAGAATGTAGAAACTAACCCAAGGCGGATTTGGCTCGTGAGTGAAATCGTTAAGAAATTGCCTTCTTTTTTATATACGGACGATCGGGCTTCGGTCCCCGGTTTTGTTCGGCGGAGATTTCAATCGGTCTTGTTACGGCGTGCCCCACCGGCCCGCCCCACCTCCGCCACCGCCGCTACAAGGCGCCGCCACCGCTACAGCCCTCACGGCCCGCCGCCACCAGCCGCCGCCACGGCCGCTACAGGGCGCTGCTGGCCACCGACAGCCGCCACAGCCGCCACCGCCGCCACCAGGCGAAAGCCGCCACCGCCAAGCCGCCCACCGCACCAGAGCCGGCTACAGGCGCCGTCCACCGACGCCGGCCACGGGATGCACCGCTACAGCCGCCACCCAGCACCAGCCCGCCACTGCCACGCCAGCTGCCACGAATAGCCGCGACCGCCCGCCTACGGGCCCGCCGCCGCCACCCACCTGCCGCAGTCGCCCCCACGCCGCCGCCGCCGCCCGTCACGACATGTCGTGCAGAGTTTCCCAATTCGTTAGCAGCGCCTCATTTATTAAATCGGAAATTTGCGCTCGCTTGTAATTCGCTCTCGGTTCGTGGTGGTGGCGCGTGTGTGTTTTTGTCCCTTAGGAACAAGCATGCATGTTTCTCCCAGCAGCATCGCTCATTGCTACCACGAAATTTCGCGTTCGCGTTGGGGGAGATCACGTGACCGGGGGCCGTTCTCGCGGGACCTCGCGGTATCGCGCGATCGCGATGGTGCGTGCGATTCGCTCGCCTATATTAATGTTTATACGTGGGAAAAGGGAGATGTCTCTGCGGCACTATGCGCTTCCTTGCGAGAGATCTAGAGCAACATCGGTGCGCGCGTGTTTACGGGAGCGGTGCTGACCAATCTTAAACTTGAACTTAGTTGCGCATGCACGTTCTGTAGGCTTGCTCGCACGCACACACGCATAAGCACGCACGCACGCACGTACACATAAGCACGCGCGTATGCACGCACGAGCACGAACGTATGTACGCACGCACGAAGGCACGCACGCATGAACAAGCATGAATACAAGCACGCACGCACGCACGTACAAGCCTTCATACTCGCACGCGCACGCACGGATGTACGCACACATGCACACCCACGCACATGCTGTCAAGTGCGTATACGCAATACTAACTTGTCGTAGGTCACGTGAGTTCATTCACATCACGTTTAAGATTCACCAAAAGACGGTTGAAAACTGAGCGCGTACGTAGTGCCTACGGAACCTCTCTATACACGCAGCAAACTCAATTATCAAACAGTACTGCAGCACATAGCACACCAGCCTCCGCCGAGACTTACGTATACTACTGCCGAGATCTGTCGCACTGTACGCTCTCTTTCTCTCTCTCTCTCTCTCTCTCTCTCTCTCTCTCTCTCTCTCTCTCTCTCT